GGGGGTTGTTGCTGCCTCCAGCAAAGCTGTGGCTTCTTTGTCTACAATGGGGCTGTCCCAACTGGATTGTTTCTTGGCTTTCGGCATGGCTGGTCTGAGTGCTGGGTCTGTCATGGCACCCCATTTCGTGTCACATTCCGTGTAGTGGGGGTCCTGTATCCCCGCTACATCACTTAGGGTGTCAGGTAGAATTTCCTTAACCAGGTCATCTGATGCTGAGGAGGAAGACAGGAAGGCTGGGACTGCAATTTGGGTGGCGGTGCGGACACCCAAGCCACCGAGCCTGACAGGAAGAGTGGCTTGTTTCCACTGGCATTCGTTGAGAGAGAGGTTAACAACTTTTTCCAGCATGGTCTTCAGTAGGAGGTCATACTCGTCAAGCTTTGGGTTGTTGTAAGATGGGGCGCACCTCAGAAAGTAGGTTAGCCTCGGAAGGGATAGGCATTTGGTGAGGAGATAAAAAGCATCGTGGGCATCGATGTCACCTATTCTGTCTTCCATCCTCCTAAGGTCTGCGATTTTCTTGTCGAGGATCTCCTCAATGGCGTTAGACCCGAGGGGAGCTCCAAGGAGGGTGCTGTTCTCGGCCCTAATGACATGGGCTCCAGGCAAGGCAGACCTTATTCTAGCTACGATGTCTGGGTTGGAGGAGACTACTTCACACTTGGAAGGGTTCAGGACGAGACCCAGGCTTACTTCTTGCTCCCTTATTTTCCTGATATCTGACAAGAGGTGGTCTACGGTGCCAGCTATAGTGCCATCATCCAAAAACCAGATGTTGAACTCGCTGGACAAGCTTTCGGTGATTTCTTTTAAGACTAAGCAGAAAAGAAGGGGAGCAAGAGGATCACCTTGCTGAACACCTTCACATGATCTGATTTCATGTTCACCAAAGAGCAGTTTTGACTCGCCACTGTAGCACGATAGTATGAACGGGTAGAGGGGCCGGAAATGGCGATGTACGGCACAAAGTACTGCATCTCTTCTTACCATGTTGAAGGCATTCTTAAAGTCCAGTTTGAGCAGGGCCTTTTCATCAGAAATGTTTGTGATGTATGCTCGTGCTGCATGGGCAGCCGCTTCACAGCCTTGGGGGATTCCAAATCCTAGCTGGATTGGTTTCAGCAATTCAGCCGCTTGCTGGCTGACAACCCTCGTAGCAGCCTTGGCAATCAGGCGTCGGAGAGTGTTGCCAACAGCGATTGGCCTGATTCCTTCGTCCTTCTTTTTGAGAGCACAGAGGGAGGCACCAAAAAAGAGAGGCCTGATGACCTCAGGTATCTCACCAGCCAGACACATGTTGACGAACCTTGTGAGTTCCATAAGAAGATCTTGTGCAGCATCACCAACCGCAGGATTTAACATTTGCTTGATATGTTGAGGTTTTAACCCTGTAAAGCCGCCTGCTGACCCAGGTGGAAAAGAAAGGGCTGCTTTGTAGACCTCAGATTCACCAACTGTTAATGGGTCTGAAATGGTGTCGGCTGATGGCGGAACGATGTTGTCGCCTTGAGGGGCTCTGGGTGGGTGCTTGCTTTGCAGGGCCCGTGCTGTGGCTGAGTTTCGAGGAGCAATTTTCTCGTCACTGGTGAGGACTCTAATAGCACTTGCGGTATTTCCCTCTTCAATTTTCTTGGTGATTTGTGCTCTGATTTTGTACGTTTCCGGTATGTTGTTGTTACCATTTCTGCGGTGGGTGTGTTTTGCTCGGAGAGGCAGGCGAACTAGGTTGTCCCCCCTTGGGTATTCATTTATCGCCCTCAGGACCGAGGAAGCAAGTGATTTGTCCCTCCTTGGAGGGACGGTGAGGCATACATTGCCAAACAGAAGGACATTATGCCACGCTTGAATGTTTTCCGGTGCATCATTGACCCTTTTCAGAAGATTACAAAGTTTGGCTGCTGCATTTGGGCGGGCTGCTTTTGGGATGTGTGGTAATGTTCTAGCAGACGTCGCTATGATCGCTTGGGTGAGGTTCTCAGATGAGATTAGGTTAATGGGAGTCTCTTCCCTAACTGTTAATGGCAGCTGGCCATTGCTTCCCTTCGGAAGCTGGTGGGAACCACTGCATCTTTCCTCGTTGAAGGTGTGAAAGCGGATAACACCACCGATGGAGTTTATGGCGGTGTTTTTGTTGCATACTCGGCAAAAACCTCTTTTAGGAGCAGTTGTTGGCACCTCAAGGCTTGTGGAGTCCTGCCCGACCGCTGGGACCCCTTCCATTTCAACTCGGTTGGCCGAGTTAAACTGTGCATTATTCTATAGAGGGGGGCAAACACACTGGGTCATGGCCAAGCAACTGGGTGTGGAGCCAACAACTGGGTGTGGAGCCAGCAACTGGGTGTGGAGGCATCAACTGGGTGTGGAGCCAGCAACTGGGTGTGGAGGCATCAACTGGGTGTGGAGCCAGCAACATATATATATATATTATATATATATATATATATATATTATATATATATATATATATAGTATTATATAGTATTATATATATATATATATATATATATATATATATATATATATATTATATATATATATATATATATATATATATATATATATATATATATATATATATATATATATATGTCGTACCTAGTAGCCAGAACGCACTTCTGAGCCTACTATGCAAGGCCCGATTTGCCTAATAAGCCAAGTTTTTCTGAATTAATATATTTTCTCTAATCCTTTTCTTATGAAATGATAAAGCTACCCATTTCATTATCTATGAGGTCATTTTTTTTTTATTGGAGTTAAAATTAACGTAGATATATGACCGAACCTAACCAACCCTACCTAACCTAACCTAACCTATCTTTATAGGTTAGGTTAGGTTAGGTAGCCGAAAAAAGTTAGGTTAGGTTAGGTTAGGTAGGTTAGGTAGTCGAAAAAACATTAATTCATGAAAACTTGGCTTATTAGGCAAATCGGGCCTTGCATAGTAGGCTGAGAAGTGCGTTCTGGCTACTAGGTACGACATATATATATATACATACATACATTATATCTAGGTCCCTCCCCCAAGATCGAACTACATATCCTCCCTAGGATACAACCCCACATATCCTTGTATCCTAGGGAGGATACAAGGATATGTATCCTTGTATACATGTATACATACTTGTATCCTTGTATACATACTGGTGACTAACTCCCGGGTACCTACTTACTGCTAGGTGAACAGAGGCATTAGGGGAAGGGAAACGTGCCCAGTCACTTCTGTCCCTCTCGGGACTAACACCCGGGATCCCCGAGTGTGAATCGAAAACGAACCCAAGTGTACACGTTAAACATTATCTGTTATATGGAAGAATAAGGTGATGTTGTCTCCTCGTAGCTCGTAGCCTTGGGTAGTGCTGCTACAGGGAATTGACGGTCGACGAGTCATAGCACCAATAAATACTGAAAATTCCTTCTCCCACGTCGGACGAGAACCGACTGATGACTCGTTTTCAAACCCTGGAATCGTAAACAAAACAACGCGCGCGCCGCCCAGTGGCATCTTTCTGAATCCCCCTGATTAGTCTATTACTATTTACGACGAGGTGGCAGGATTTTGTTCTGAGTACCCATATGAGCCACAGGGACGTTAGAAAATAAACTTTTTCGGTGTTAGAGTAGTTAACAGATGGAATGCATTAGGCAGTGATGTGGTGGAGGCTGACTCTATATACAGTTTCAAATGTAAAAATGATAGAGCCCAGTAGGCTCAGGAATTTTTACACAAGCTTATGACAGGTTAGAGGCGGTACCAAAAGAGCCAGAGCTCAATCCTCGAAGCACAACTACTTGAGCACACACACATACGCACATACACACACAAACGCCAGTGGCTGAGTGGACAGCACGCAGGACGCGTGATCCTGTGGTCCCGGGTTTGATTCCCGGCGCTGGCGAGAAACAATAGGCAGAGTTTCTTTCACCCTGATTCCCTGTTACTTAGCAGTAAATAGGTTCCTGGGAGTTAATAAGCTGTCACGGGCTGCTTCCTGGGTGTGTGTGTGTGTGTGTGTGTGTGTGTGTGTGTGTGTGTGTGTGTGTGTGTGTGTGTGTGTGTGTGTGTGTGTGTGTGTGTGTGTGTGTGTGTGTGTGTGTGTGTGTGTGTGTGTGTGTGTGTGTGTGTGTGTGTGTGTGTGTGTGTGTGAAAAAAATAGTAGTTAGTAACAGTTGATTGACATTTGAGAGGCAGGCCGAAAGAGCAGAGTTCAACCTCCGCAAGGACAATTAGGTGAATACAGGGGCCTCGCGGCAGAGTAAACAGTGCTCGGGGTCGTACTCCTAAGGCCCCGTGTTCGATTCCCGGCAGAGGCGGAAACAAATGGGCAGAGTTTCTTTCACCCTGGTGTACCTGTTCACCGAACACTAAATAGATACCTGAGAGTTAAACAGCTGCTACGGGCTGCTTCCTTGGAATGTATGTGTGTGCGCGCAAGGTAGAGAAATATATGTAATAGACATAATAAAGAAAAATTAGATTGACTAGAAAGGCGGGGTCCAAGAGCTAATAGCTCGAATCTGCAGGCACAAATAGTAAATATACACACACACAGAAAATATACTCATATTATAAAATTTGTCTATTTAAACCCAACTAAGAATGCGTTACCAGCAAAATTTAATACAAGAGAACATATCCCTAAGAAATACGCACAGAGGCGCTGTTTTCTCTTCATATGACTGGGATTTCATGTTGTTATACTCTCCAGCAGCTCCTCTACTCTGGCGATTATTTGGAAGTCTGAAAAATGGCATAACAATTATATTTTTGAGCATCAGTTCAGGCAGTTCCTTCTTTATTCTTAACTATTTTGGCTTATCATAACTATTATACGTTTGATTTGGATTCTGGGAAGATTTGATAAGGAGCTCAGGATGACTTGGTAAGGATCAATAACGACTTGGTAAGGACCTAGAACGACTTACTAAGTGGCCAGAACAACTTGGTAAGGATCCAGGACGACTTGGTAAGTGTCCAGAACGACTTGTTAAATGTCCAGAACGACTTGGTAAGGATCCAGAACGACTTGGTAAGTGTCCAGAACGACTTGTTAAATGTCCAGAACGACTTGTTAAGTGTCCAAAACGACTTGGTAAGGATCCAGAACAACTTGGTAAAGATCCAGAACAACTTGGTAAAGATCCAGAACAACTTGGTAAGGCCCCAGAACGTCTTAAACTGGTAAGACCCTAAATGACTTGGTAAGGACCGAGGATAACCAGGGTGTAAGACACCACACGGTCAGGTCGTCCGTTGTATCTTACACCTGTGTGTTGGCAGTTATTTCTTTCGGTCTACGATGGCCGAACAATTTTATGAGAGGGGGAAATTTACAATGCAATTAATTTTTTTTCCTATTTCGGTTTTGTAGAATTACACGGTTTTTCGTCAGGCAATGTGGCATCGTACAATGGTATATTGGTACATGGCACTTGGAAACTCTTCAACGAGATACAATTTTCCACAACATATTCAATTTCACTTGATTCTAAGCTCAGCTGCATGGACCAATAGGAGCTGTGCCACGCATGGACCAATAGGAGCTGTGCCACGCATGGACCAATAGGAGCTGTGCCACGCATGGACCAGTAGGAGCTGTGCCACGCATGGACCAGTAGGAGCTGTGCCACGCATGGACAGTAGGAGCTGTGCCACGCATGGACCAGTAGGAGCTGTGCCACGCATGGACCAGTAGGAGCTGTGCCACGCATGGACCAGTAGGAGCTGTGCCACGCATGGACCAGTAGGAGCTGTGCCACGCATGGACCAGTAGGAGCTGTGCCACGCATGGACCAGTAGGAGCTGTGCCACGCATGGACCAGTAGGAGCTGTGCCTCACATGGACCAATAGGAGCCGTGCCACGCATGGACCAATAGGTGCTGTGCCTCGCTTGGACCAGGAGGAGCTGTCCCTCCATGGACCAATAGGAGCTGTGCCTCGCATGGACCAATAGGAGCTGTGCCTCGCATGGACCAGTAGGAGTAGCATCATACTGCATAATTGGCCTACTACAGTTTTCTTTATTTTTACGTTGATTATAAAACCTCACAGCGTTATCAATTGTGGATCATTTGCACGGAAATATTCCCTGATATGAGTTTTGCAAATCTGATGGAAATTTGCATCTACAAATAGGTATTTGCAGATGCAAATTAACCAGATGAACAAAATAATGAAGCCCACTGAGTCATAATCCACTCAATGCTCCGAAACTGTAAAAAAAATGTTTAATTCCATGATTACGTCACAAATCTTTGCATGTTGGTGTAATTATTAAATATTTATTGTACCGTTAATTTCTGTTAGGGAAACAGTACCTGTTGGGATTGATCACTTAATTATTTAATTGTATCACCAAACGTGAGGAAGCTTTGATGAATTATTGAAGCCATACGATGGGATCGCACCCGCTTCCTTGGACACCTACTACGTAAGTCTGGTAGTTGATTGATAAAGATTAAGCCACCCAAAAGGTGACACGGGCATGAATAGCCCGTAAGGTCTGGTATGGTGGAGATGCTTGTAGCCCGTCGTGGGCCAGTTGGTTGTGCGTGTGTCCTGTAACATAAATGGTTGTTAACCCCCCCAGTGGATTTTTCTCATAGTCGAGGATAGTAAGCCTGTTAGTCTTATATCTAGGTCCTCCTTCGGCCATTTATTGTCGAACTTTCCCAGAATGCATTCCACGACAGATGACTAAGTACTAATGTCCTATTCCCTGCAAAATGAACAGTTGCATCAGGTGCAAGGAAGTATAAGCCAACCGCCCAAGGATCGATCCCAGGATCCCCGGTAAGATAAGGTAATTATGAGGAGAAAGCGCAAAACCAGTACGACTGTAGGAAGGAAAGGCTAGGAAGCACTAGCAAGGGGCTAGGAAGTACTAGGAAGGGGCTAGGAAGTACTAGGATGGGGCTAGGAAGTACTAGGAAAGGCTATGAAGATAAGGAGCTGGAATGTGTCGAAGGAGAGGAATGGTGTCTACAACAACTTGGTTAGTCGACGATTGAGCGCCGGTAGTGACTGAACCCTAGTGGTGATGGAGGACGAACCCTGGTGGTGATGGAGGACGAACCCTGGTGGTGATGGAGGACGAACCCTGGTGGTGATGGAGGACAACCCTTGGTGGTGATGGAGGACGAACCCTGGTGGTGATGGAGGACGAACCCTGGTGGTGATGGAGGACGAACCTTGGTGGTGATGGAGGACGAACCCTGGTGGTGATGGAGGACGAACCCTGGTGGTGATGGAGGACGAACCCTGGTGGTGATGGAGGACAACCCTTGGTGGTGATGGAGGACGAACCCTGGTGGTGATGGAGGACGAACCCTGGTGGTGATGGAGGACAACCCTTGGTGGTGATGGAGGACGAACCCTGGTGGTGATGGAGGACGAACCCTGGTGGTGATGGAGGACAACCCTTGGTGGTGATGGAGGACGAACCCTGGTGGTGATGGAGGACGAACCCTGGTGGTGATGGAGGACGAACCCTGGTGGTGATGGAGGACGAACCCCGGTGGTGATGGAGGACAACCCTTGGTGGTGATGGAGGACGAACCCTGGTGGTGATGGAGGACGAACCCTGGTGGTGATGGAGGACGAACCCTGGTGGTGATGGAGGACAACCCTTGGTGGTGATGGAGGACGAACCCTGGTGGTGATGGAGGACGAACCCTGGTGGTGATGGAGGACGAACCTTGGTGGTGATGGAGGACGAACCCTGGTGGTGATGGAGGACGAACCCTGGTGGTGATGGAGAACGAGCCCTGGTGGTGATGGAGGACGAACCCTGGTGGTGATGGAGGACGAACCCTGGTGGTGATGGAGGACGAACCCTGGTGGTGATGGAGGACAACCCTTGGTGGTGATGGAGGATGAACCCTGGTGGTGATGGAGGACGATCCTGGGAGTGACAGAGCACGACCCTGAGACGTCTATTGTTTCTCATTGTGGGATGAGCGTCGTGTCTTACAGTTTCATGAGTGTTGTTTCTCATCGTGGGATGAGAACTATTGTTTATTATCGCAGAATATGTATTGCCTCTCATCTTTCGACAAATACTACTTCTCATCGTGGGTTGAGTATTGTTTGTCATCCTGCGAGTAGTATTGTTTCTCACGCATGGAATGAGTATTACTTCTCATCGTGGGGAGTGACTATACTCTTTTCTCATCGCGCCGAAAACGGGTCTCAGCTGAGCAGGCTACAGTGCAGATTATAATTCCTATTATGAAAGCTCTCATTCTTTAATCTTTTCCTCCTCCTCCTGACGACCATGGTCGGATGAGTCTTGCTTCAAAGCAATTCCGTTGCAAAATAGGATACTCAGGTCTCCCTGCAGGTGCCCATTTTCTTTATTGTTTGCCAGGAGAATTGCCGGGCGTGTGTGTGTGTGTGTGTGTCCCTCGCATCACTGAACACAAAAACAGATGCACTGAGCAGGTATTTTCAGACTCTTGGAACTCCGTGTTCTTTTGCTAAAAACGAGTGTATAAATGTTTAAGTCACTGTGGTTGCATTATAATGTTTTACATATTCACTTTCATGTACTTGCATAATAATAATAGTAGGCATCCATCAGTCTCAGTAGACTATGGAGTTGAGCACCGGTGTTGGCTTGGTCTGGAGTAGCCTCACCAGTGCTCAAACTCAGGGAAGGTTGATTCGGAGGAGAAGCTGTTACCCATGCAGCAGGTGCCCCCTCTCTTGGGTGTTGAAAGACTTGCTTAGCCTCGTATGTACTTGCATAGGAGGCTGCATAGTGAGTATTCTTGTCTGTATATATATATATATATATATATATATATATATATATATATATATATATATATATATATATATATATATATATGTCGACTACTTTGGAAATAAAAGAGAAAATGAATTAATGACCCTTGGGGTAATGTGAATCTGCGATCTAAATAGGTAAAGAATATTATGCCTTCAGCGTGACGTATTTGCTCGGGCAGGCAATTTAATAGGACACGGAAGCTAACCTTGGGGGATAAAGTGAAACACGCCTCTCCTTGGTCTGTTGGCACGAAGTAGGTGAGTTTCTGACTCTCAATACCGTGTGGATACGATCTTGAGGACAATCAGTACGAAATAGTTTAACGGATTTACAGTGTTTGCAACACGGCCAGAAGCCGCAGCAATATCCCGTGCAACCACGCAATCAATCATGGGTTGATTCAGTAGCTCGCGCCACATACTGAACAGGCTTTGCAAGAGCACGGCTGTCGGGAAAACTGTGTCTGTCTGTCTTTCTCTCTCACTCTCTCATACACACACACACGCCGGTGGCCGAGCGGACAGCACGCCCGACACGTAATCCTGTGGTCCCGGGTTAGATCCCGGGTGCCGGCGAGAAACAATGGGCAGAATTTCTTTCACCCTATGCCCCTGTTACCTATCAGTAAATAGGTACCTGGGAGTTAGTCAGCTGTCACGGGCTGCTTCCTGGGTGTGTGTGTGGTGTGGGTGGTGTGGGAAGGAAAAATAAATAGTAGTTAGTAACAGTTGAGAGGCGGGCCGAAAGAGCAGAGCTCAAACCCCCGCAAGCACAACAGGTGAATACAACTAGGTGAATACAACTAGGTGAATACACAGTGCACTCACAACAATGTGAATGCACTGTGAGAATTCTACCATAAAATTTTTTCCCTTATCTCAGCCGCTCATGCAGTAGTCATTCTTTATTTTTAGACCCATGAATAAGAGAGAGAGGCGGCGAGTGTCACAATCGTAGTTTTTTGTTTCTTGCTCTTTCGTTCTCGTGGTGTTTTCTTCCCCTTGTTTTGGTTCGTCGGTCAACCATCTATTTTCCAATTAAAACATCCATTCGTGAACATTTTAGATAACAGCGTTCGTGTGTATATAAACAATTCGTTACAACATGACCGTATTGTCTACCGCTGTTATTGTCATGCCTGTTGCCTGCCTGAACTCTGGCTGCAACCCGTCCTCGACTCAAGTCCATTACATTCAGCGGTCAACCCCACAGACGCATTCATAAATTTTAACATGTTGTTCATTCAAAACGGGAATTTTCGCAAGTATAAATTAATATTATATTATATTATCATATTGTGCATATATAGGTATAGGATAGGTTAGGTTAGGTGTTTAGGTTCTGTTGGCGATTATTTGTATTTGTAGTACGTGGGTGAAGCATTTATAGTGTTGTGATTCGAACAAAATTCGTCAGTGAAGCACTTGTTCCGGATATGTTCGAACGTCAGCAGTTGTGAGTCGTGTGTAAACCGCTTTTCATTCATAAACAGGGGGTTTGGCGGGTGCATGGAATCACTTTTGGATCTTTGTTTGGAGGACGGGCTGTTGGAGGACGGGCTGCTGAAGTAGTTGACAAGTTGGCGTTGCTCGTTTCTGTGCCACGGTGCTCATGAATTTTTATTTACATGGTATTCATGGGTAGTTAAACCATTAACTACCGAGTGGATTAAGGCGTCCTGTACACACCAGTTGCGTTGCTCCTGGCAGTATGAGTTCGAGTCACTTCTGGGGTGTGAGTTTTCAGTTGCATATAGTCCTGGGGATCATTCAAGCTTCTTCGCATTTGTGTTCCTCACGTGTGCCTCAAAGAATGAGGTGATTTCATAAAATACTATGCCCAAGATTACAATCCGAATGCCGGCGGGGGGGAGGGGTTCAAATAGCTTCGGCTATCACTTCCTTATGTCCGGTCGTGATGGTCGAGTGGATTAAGGCATCCTGTACACACCAGTTGCGTTGTTCCTGGCAGTATGGGTTCGAGTCACTTCTGGGGTGTGAGTTTTCAGTTGCATATAGTCCTGGGGACCATTCAGGCTTGTTCGCATATATATATATATATATATATATATATATATATATATATATATATATATATATATATATATATATATATATATATATATATATATATATATATGTCGTACCTAGTAGCCAGAACGCACTTCTCACCCTACTATGCAAGGCCCGATTTGCCTAATAAGCCAAGTTTTCATGAATTAATATATTTTCTCTAATTTTTTTCTTATGAAATGATAAAGCTACCCATTTCATTATGTATGAGGTCAATTTTTTTTTATTGGAGTTAAAATTAACGTAGATATATGACCGAACCTAACCAACCCTACCTAACCTAACCTATCTTTATAGGTTAGGTTAGGTTAGGTTAGGTAGCCGAAAAAGTTAGGTTAGGTTAGGTAGGTTAGGTAGTCGAAAAAACATTAATGCATGAAAACTTGGCTTATTATGCAAATCGGGCCTCGCATAGTAGGCTGAGAAGTGCGTTCTGGCTACTAGGTACGACATATATATATATATATATATATATATATATATATATATATATATATATATATATATATATATATATATATTTATATATATATATATATATATATATATATATATATATATATATATATATATATATATGTCGTACCTAGTAGCCAGAACGCACTTCTCGGCCTACAATGCAAGGCCCGATTTGCCTAATAAGCCAAGTTTTCCTGAATTAATATATTTTCTGTAATTTTTTTCTTATGAAATGATAAAGCTACCCATTTCATTATGAATGAGGTAAATTTTATTTTATTGGAGTTAAAATTAACGTAGATATATGACCTAACCTAACCAACCCTACCTAACCTAACCTAACCTAACTTTATAGGTTAGGTTAGGTTAGGTAGCCGAAAAAGTTAGGTTAGGTTAGGTTAGGTAGGTTAGGTAGTCGAAAAACAATTAATTCATGAAAACTTTGCTTATTAGGCAAATCGGGCATTGCATAGTAGGCTGAGAAGTGCTTTCTGGCTACTAGGTACGACATATATATATATATATATATATATATCTCGCACTCCCATAAGTAAGCTCTTTACGATTCACGGCGTTTTGTCTTGCACCAAATATGCCTGCTCTTGAAAAACTTTGTATTATATATAATTCACCCCTGAAGAGCTTCTTCTCAAAGAGCTCATTCATCTTACGTTTTCTTGGTAAAGAAATATTTATGCTCGTCAAGAAAAAAATCTAGATTTAATCGTGGAAAACGAAGGTAATTAACTGACTTAAATAGGTCCTGGTAATTAATACAGAGTTGTTAAGCGGAAAGGGAGGGGGGAGGGGGAGGGGGGACAGAGAGAGAGAATCATAAAAAAGGTGTAAAGATAAAAATAGAGATACTAAGAATAGGGTGAATTACAGCGAGGTGAAGGTAGACAAAACAGGAATGAAATGAGAAACATCAGAATACGGTGAACGAGAAACTACACACCTCACCTTAGAGATTAGTAACAATGTGAATCATTTATAACAATTGACGGTAATGATTTTATTTAAAGGAATAACTCTCTCTCTCTCTCTCTCTCTCTCTCTCTCTCTCTCTCTCTCTCTCTCTCTCTCTCTCTCTCTCTCTCTCTCTCTCTCTCTCTCTCTCTCTCTCTCTCTCCTCTCTCTCTCTCTCTCTCTCTCTCTCTCTCTCTCTCTCTCTCTCTCTCTCTCTCTCTCTCTCTCTCTCTCTCTCTCTCTCTCTCTCTCTCTCTCTCTTTCTCAATAATTACCGAAGTGTCTGATCATTTTTACATTGATCCGTTGTCTAAAGGAACTCCTTCATCATTGTTAAATTAATTAGTTCATTCATTTGCTAAATTGGGAATGGACGTCAGAAGCTAAATTACGCTTCTCTCAGACTCCACTCTCAGTATTTTTACTTCAATTAAAAGTCCATTTACGAAGAAGTCCTTGACAGCTATTGGTTGATTGACAGGTTTGAGTAAACAATGAACACCATCAATTTGGTGTGTTGATAACCATTTGTTTTTTAAGGTCTTGTGCTGTTATGATACTTGATGAGTATTTTTTGTTCAAGTCTTGGGAGATATGATTATCCTCCTATCTCTTCCCCAGCATCTTGGAAGATATTCTCGCTCTCCTATCTCTTTCCCTCGAACGTCTTGGAATATATTCTCACCCTTCTGTCTTTCAACCCAACATACATCTTGGAAGATATTCACACTCGAACAAATCCACAAGGGCAGTGACGAGGATTCGAACCTGTGTCCTAGAGCATCCCAGACGCTGCCTTAATCGACTGAGCTACGACATGGTAAAAAGGAGTTGAAACTGAAGTTCTACTGAACTTACTGGATCCTGCAGCCTCTTGTGGATTTGTTTATTTGATGCATCACGCAATTGTGATTTCTTTGTGTATATTCACACTCTCCTATATCCCCCTCCTCCTCCAGCATTTTGGACGATATTTTTCCTTTTCATTCTCTTTCCTCAGCATCTTGGAATTAATCTGCCTCTTATCTCTCCTCCCAGCCACCTGGCCGACAACAACCTGAGCGTATCGCTGCAGGAACCTATACGACACTACGATCAAATTATTTATCTGTGAGTACAAAATCCTATGACATTATCTTCCTATCTCTTACTTTTACAACAAAATTGTTCCTGTAATATTTAGCTTAGAATGGGCCTTCACGACCTTTTGTACGTGTAAGTAAATAAAAAACAGTACGATGAACTTAGTTATGAGCATTTTCACTTTGGAGTTGCAAATACCTTTTTTTTTAAATATACTAAATTATGGCAAAATTATGCAATATTGATTAATTATTGCAAAATTATGCAATAACTAAGCTAAAAAAATGCTAAATCAAGACAAAATGCCATTAATCCATTGAATACACTCACTCAGTATTTCGTTTGTGGTTTGTCAACTGGTTTCATCTCTCCGACAGAGACCTGTCAAGGAATCATATCCAGCACCTAGGAAACGGTACCTTCAAATACCTTCTGCGGCTCCTTATCCTGATGCTGAGTGATAATAACCTAACATCGCTGTCTGAGGGGACCTTCCAGGGCCTCCATAACCTTCGTACTCTGTAAGTCTGACCTTTCATCTCTCCAGGACCTCCCAGCACTGGGAATATCTGTCCTTGCTTCATTAACACCTCCTAGCATTCTGAGTAAGAACCTCCATATCCTTTGAATACCTTCCTATGTTAGGAAGAACCTTCCTGTCTCTCCCCCCCCCCCTCTCTCTCTCTCTCTCTCTCTCTCTCTCTCTCTCTCTCTCCTCTCTCTCTCTCTCTCTCTCTCTCTCTCTCTCTCTCTCTCTCTCCTCTCTCTCTCTCTCTCTCTCTCTCTCTCTCTCTCTCTCTCTCTCATATATATATATATATATATATATATATATATATTATATATATATATATATCTATATATATATATATATATATATATATATATATATATATGTGTGTGTGTATATCACGAAAATAAACACGTGATTAAGAATGTGACAATGTCAGACCACGGAGGAAAAATGAAACAGGAAATTTCCTTAAGTACTTTCGTATATTAAATACATCTTCAGAAGGTCCTTCTGAAGATGTATTTAATATACGAAAGTACTTAAGGAAATTTCCTGTTTCATTTTTCCTCCGTGGTCTGACATTGTCATATATATATATATATATATATATATGTGGATTATGGAATGTGATATTTGTTGTTCGTGCAACATTTGGTAAAAATAAATTTGAAAACATAAACTGGAGTAATATTTTATAAAAAGAGATTCATAAGTGGGAGGATGGAGTAGCTTATCAGTGAACAATGAGGCCAAATGATCCCATTTGTATACAAAATCATCCAATATTTTCAGAATCTCGCGGCTTAAAACGTTGCAGTTGCAAAAGCTTTGATGAAAAAGATATATTGCATGATTCATAAACGCTCATTTTAGGATTAATTTTTTTTAAGGTAATTAATTTATTTATTTTCATGGCAGTCATTCATGATATTCACTGTATTGCCATAATGAACGGAAAAGGTATGAGAATGTTAATTTATTTTACTTGTTTACTTCAAATTAATTATATTTTTGGTTCATTGGTATCTGGGGAAAAACTGCTAGATATTTCTAGGTCTACCACTGGGCAAACTACTGACCTTCCTCCAGGATGCAACCCACAACAGTAGCCTAACTCCCGGCTGACTGCTAGTAGAACAGTCGCATCAGGTGAAAGGAAACGTTCCCAGGCGACTCATCATGACAAAAATAATCCTCATAGTGAGAAAATCAGTAGGAGTCACGAGGAGGATTCGAACCCTCATCGATACATCACGTTCACAGGGCTTCTTTGTGCGGACTCCTGACTGTGTTATATATAAAATACTTCGCTCTGACAGTCAGGAGTCACTAAAGAATGATGATACCTGTGACAGTGCTTATTTTGAGAGGTGTTCCACTCTAACAGTACTGGGTATGACTGACAACATGGCTTCTCAATATATAGAATGTTCTAATCTGTGTTTGTATTGTCACGTTCTACTCATATTGTTATTTTCCGATACTTTCTTCCCTGGCGGTGTTTTGATGACACAACTTTCTTAAGTTTCTCCAAATGTTGTTAAAAGCACTCTGAGATTCTTACTAAACTCTTCACATAAACAGACCTAGAGGCAAGAGCTTTCTTTCCTCATTAAAGACGTCTGCCAAAATTAATTTGACTGAAATAAAGTTTAAATAACTCTTTTTTTATGGTTTCAGGAACCTCAACGGCAACAAGATTGCTTTCATCAGTCCCGTCGCCTTCTACGGCCTGAGCGCCCTTCCTACACTGTAAGTACTTCTCTGGAAACACTCTAATATCTCAAAGGGTTTTTGTATAAGATACAGAAATAAGCAGTATTCCTAAAACACTAAAAGAATATGTAATATATATATATATATATATATATATATATAATATATATATATATATATATATATATAATATATATATATAATATTATATAATATATAACCAAAAAGGAATGTACAGAAGGCCTATTGGACCATTCGAGGCAGCATCTATTTACATCCTCCCAAACCCATTCATCTATATGTTAAACCCACGCTTCAGAGAACCCAGCGACCTCGCGTCTGCTCTGCTACCACGCAATGTTTCCCAATTTCAACCACGCTATTTGCAAGCCAGTGCGTGGTTGTCCACGCGACCACCAGAGGCATGTTGGTGAACAGACGCTCAACGCCACGAGAAGATATCCTACGGCTTGGCTCTGAACCTCCCACCTATAATAGTTCCATTGGACTATAGTGCGTGGGTGGGTGTGTGTATATCTAGCTGATGATGGGACGAAGCGGGAGTCCAGGACTTTGGGTCTTGACAGTCCCATAGGCCTATTTAGGCTTGCACTCTCCAGCAACTTTTGGCTACACATTTTCATTTACTTTTCCCTCGTCCTCCGAGGATGGTTTCGTGTGCTTCAGCGAGACTTGTCATTCAGTGACAAGACATCACGTAAAAAATATTTTAAAGCATATTTTAACTTTCTTCCAAAGTTAAGTGAAAAATAGAACAAATATTGAGGAAATCTATGATAGAATCTTTAATTTAATCCTTTAGGGGATAACCAATAACACATATCTATAAGAAGGACTGTGTGTGTGTACTCACCTAATTGTGCTTGCGGGGGTTGAGCTCTGGCTCTTTGGTCCCGCCTCTCAACCGTCAATCAACTGGTGTACAGATTCCTGAGCCTATTGGGCTCTATCATATCTACATTTGAAACTGTGTATGGAGTCAGCCTCCACCACATCACTTCCTAATGCATTCCATTTACTAACTACTCTGACACTGACACTGTGTGTGTGTGTGTGTGTGTGTGCGCGCGCGTGTGTGTGTGTGTGTGTGTGTGTGTGTGTGGTGTGGTGTGTGTGTGTGTGTGTGTGTGTGTGTGTGTGTGTGTGTGGTGTGTGTGTGTGTGTGTGTGTGTGTGGTGTGTGTGTGTGTGTGTGTGGTGTGTGTGTGTGTTCACCTAGTTAAATTCACCTAGTTGTGCTTGCGGGTGTTGAGGTCTGTTCTTTCGGCCCGCCTCTCAACCGTTAATCAACTGTTACTAACTACTATTTTTTTTTATACACAACTACTACCCCCCCCTTCCCTAAACACACACAAGGAAGCAGCCCGTAACATCAGTCTAACTCCCAGGTACATAATTGCTGATAGGTAACTGGGGCATCAGGGTGAAAGAAACTCTGCCCATTTGTTTCAGCCAGCCCCGGGAATCGAACCCCGGTCCACATGACTACGAAACAAGTGTGCTGTCCACTTAGCCACCGGCCCCTCACGGGGCCGGTGGCTTAGTGGAAGAAAAGTGTGTGAAATGTGTTCTTGTGTGTGTGTGCGCATGAATACATCAAAACATCGACGCATATCTAAGTATTAATACCAGAAATCCTCATTTTTGTGCCGTGTATATTATATATAAAATATATATATATATTAAATATATATATATATATATATATATATATATATATCTATATATATATATATATATATATATATATAGATATATATATATATATATATATATATTGTGATGGTAAAGTGTTGGAGTACTGATGTTCGGCTGTTTCAATAGCTGGGGGGCAAGGCCTCGTCACATTACAGAAAAAAAAAAGAAGATCGTTTGCCCGTTTGTCTGTGGTAAGGTAATGGGAAAGACATACAAAACACAAAGTATAAACAATGAAATTTTAATTACTCTAGAAAACAAGATATGAATAAAGACAATCTCTTGGCTTACGTAAAATTCAAAACAAGTCAACAAACAAAACATGAATAATTAATGGCAGTAAAAATTTACTCCAAGACAATAAAGTGCAAGTAATATAAATCAGGTGCTGAGAATACTGGCTTCAAGCTGCCACCTCCCTTAGTACACGACAGCCAGGGCTTTGTCTACTAGAGAGAGATGTCAACTCCAAAGATCACAGAGATATTCTGAGGAGTACGGAGTGTGCTGGCCCAGACGTCGACTCAGGTAGTGGCGTGAGTGCAGGTGCGGCGACACACCAGCCAATCAGGAACAGGCAGGCGGAGAATGAGTAGTTTGCTGGTTTGACGGCGGGCGGGAGCCGGTGTGTCTGGTGGTGCAAGGTACGCTTTGCTTCCTGGGCAAAACGTTTGGCGATACTGGTGGACGTATCTTCAATATAGTATCTTGTACTTGAATGACGTAAATGTTGTAGGGAAGAGCAAGCTCAATCTCTCTTGAAAGAGATTATCATCACAATATATATATATATATATATATATATATATATATATATATAGATATATATATATATATATATATATATATATATATATATATATATATATATATATATATATATGTCGTACCTAGTAGCCAGAACTCACTTTTTGGCCTACTATTCAAGCCCGATTTGCCTAATAAGCTAAGTTTTCCTGAATTAATATATTTTTTCTAATTTTTTCTTATGAAATGATAGAGCTACCCATTTCATTATGTATGAGGTCAATTTTTTTTTATTGGAGTTAAAATTAACGTAGATATATGACCGAACCTAACCAACCCTACCTAACCTAACCTAACCTATCTTTATAGGTTAGGTTTGGTTAGGTAGCCGAAAAGTTAGGTTAGGTTAGGTTAGGTAGGTTAGGTAGTCGAAAAACAATTAATTCATGAAAACTTGGCTTATTAGGCAAATCGGGCCATGCATAGTAGGCTGAGAAGTACGTTCTGGCTACTAGGTCCGACATATATATATATAATATATATATATATATATATATATATATATATATGTGTGTGTATATCACGAAATAAACAACGTGATTAAGAATGTGACAATGTCAGACCACGGAGGGAAAAATGAAACAGGAAATTTCCTTAAGTACTTTCGTATATTAAATACATCTTCAGAAGGTCATTTACAGATCGAGTGATGGGTATAAATAGGCAGGAGAGAGTGGTGAAGTAAGGTGAGGTACAATACTTGGACAACGCAGAAGGCCCATTGGCCAATCAGATGCACCCAATTGGCCCATCCGATGTAGCCCAATGGCCCATCTGATACAGCAGACATACAAGCATAATGCATAGGTAATTATAACATAAAGAGGTAAATATATACAATAAATTAGTGAGACAAATGTTTTTCAATGATTCTACTTAAATCGCCCTTTAGCTGATCTATTAGAAATGGATCTAAGTTATATAGACCACTGCTAATATTCAAATTACTTTATTTGGTGATCTGTATCAAAGCGGATTCAATTATGTTTCTGTTATAGGTGCTTTTACAATTTGTTATTGAAGACGCACTTCATGAAAACTTGGCTTATTAGGCAAATTGGGCCTTGCATAGTAGGCAGAGAAGTTGTGTGTGCATAAATGTTAGCATTGCAGATTAACTATTGCAATGCTGCATCAAATATGGAAATAAATCTTCAGCCATATTTGAAATATCAACTTTTACATTGAATTTCCTTCTCCATGAATGGTTCCGAATTGCTCACCCGCGCTTGACACAAACACTCGGGAGAGAGAGAGAGAGACGATCTTCTTCGCTGTCGTTTCTGTCTGTTCGATTAGAGGCGTGGCAGTCTTTTCCCTGTTTATTTAGAAGTGATAATGTCGTCTGTTGGTTTAGAAGCATGGCTGTAGTCTACGATTGGTTTAGAAGCTTGACTGTAGTCTCCTATTGGTTTAGAAGCTTGACTGTAGTCTCCTATTGGTCTAGAAGCTTGACTGTGGCTTCCTATTGGTTTAGAAGTTTGACTGTGGTCTCCTATTGGTTTAGAAGCTTGACTGTGGTCTCCTATTGGTTTAGAAGCGTGACTGCAGTCTCCTATTGGTTTAGAAGCGTGACTGAGGTCTCTTGTTGGTTTCCAGTTAGTTAATCGTCTCCTGTTGGTATTAAAGCGTGAGTGTCTACTACTGCCGTTTAATGTGCACAGCTGCTCCTTACGGCTCACACCAGCTCCTCGATTAGTAACATTCACTCCATGTGCACTGTCCACTCAACCCTCACCGTCCGGCTCCTACACCCAATCTTCTTGTTTGCACAGAGGAAGACCTCGCGAATTCTAGAGCATATGCAGCTATGCTTCCTGTCCAACTACTTGGATTGGTTATTACAACGACTCCCTCGCCTCTTGCAGGTCGGCGTTCTATTCCCCGATGCTCCAAGTGGCTAGGCACCATTTCTCAATGCTACATCACGTTAGTGTGATTTCTCTGTGTACAGGCAGCCTTCCTTCCCACCGTCATATCCCAGCTCCTTGTTCTTGCGTTCCTTCCAAGTGCAATATGGTCGTGCTGGCTTAGTGCTTTCTCATGACAATTAACTTTCCTCCTCTGCTTTCTACCTTCTCATTTTTAGAGAATGTTCACAGCTAGTTGTCCTCGCCTAGCTGCGCTTATGATGCTCGAGCTTCAGTTCTTGGGTCTGTTAGTTTTGTTAGTAGTAATGTAAGTAGTTTATTTATGTAGACAATTAACTGAGTAATCGGCAGTATGTTTGTACCCCCCTCTCTCTCTTTCTCTCTCTCTCTCTCTCTCTCTCTCTCTCTCTCTCTCTCTCTCTCTCTCTCTCTCTCTCTCTCTCTCTCTCTCTTACAGTCAGAGGTAGCGTTCAGTTGCTGTGAGGAAACCCATGAAGTTACTCAGGTGGTTTCCAATGATTGCCAACGAGGCTAACACACACACACTCCATGTAGTCAATTTTTGCTTCTCAATTTTTCGCAGTAAATGAAGATATAATTACATTGTGATGGCGTTTCTCCCAGGAATGTAAATGTTTTGGTTCCCATCGTCTGGAACAATGATTACGTTCCTCTATGGTCGGCTAATGACCTCCGTCGAGAATCAACCCACAACAGCTTGTTAACTCCATTATACAGAGGCATCACGTGAGAAGTCTCCTTAGGGTACTCAACGCCATTTTCGGATGTTAGTGAATGTCGGCATGATATTCGGACGGGATTTATCGAAAGCTTAAGTAATTTTCGCATAAGAGGTATTGAAGGGTAACTCAGTTCCGATGAAAGGTACTGAAGGGCAACACCGTGTTCGAATGAGAGGTATATCGCTGTATCCGGGCGAGAAGTATTGAGGGGTAATTCTGTATCTGGATAAGAGGTTATGCTGGGGAAAATCTGTATCCGGATAAGAGGCAGTGGAAATAAGCACCTTTCATGGATACAATGGTGACCTGTAGCGGAGTATAGTTAGCCCAATCAGCTCACTGGTTCCGTATTCAAGAGGCGAGGCAAGACAGGTATTGTTGCGCCCTTTAAATACACCTGGACACAATGGCGAGGGGACAGACGAGTGAACGCCCACACACACGACGTGACAACTTATGGATAAGAAGTTGTGTTCCTTGACTTTAGCAAAGTTATTGCGAATTCTGAATGATAAATAGATCTGGGAGACATGATTAATAGGAATTTAAAGCCAAAAAAATAATGTCTGAATGTTTTTGTTTTTGTCGGGCCCCATTTAGATTATGCAGTTCAACCATACTATAGAACGGACATAAATTCCCTTGAACGTGTTTAGAAATATTTGGCAATTTTAATCCCAGGAATTAGAAACACACTATAAGAAAGGGGAATTATAACCTTAATTTACATTTGCAATAAAGGTGGAGAGTTAGGGGAACTATAATTAATGTGTACAAATGGAAAAACGTTCATGCAAGTGTATGATATACTCAAGACACGAGTTTTCCCAAGGAAATATGATTGATAGAATATGAGTGTTTGATCAGGGGCCATCCCTCTGGTGTCGTTGGGGAGGGAGATTACGTGGTGGAAAACCCACCCGAATTTCTTTCTTTTAACAATCTGAGTATGGTCTAGTGGTTAATGCTCTGGCCTGGCACCTGCTGGACCATGGTTCGATTCTCTCATATGGGGAAGTGTTCTGTTTGTTAAAATACCTTGCGAATTCATGCAAGTGAATTCAATATATATATATATATATATATATATATATATATATATATATATATATATATATATATATATATATATATATATATATATGTCGTACCTAATAGCCAGAACGCACTTCTCAGCCTACTATGCAAGGCCCGATTTGCCTAATAAGCCAAGTTTTCTTGAAATAATATATTTTCTCTAATTTTTTCTTATGAAATGATAAAGCTACCCATTTCATTATGTATGAGGTCAATTTTTTTTTATTTTAGTTAAAATTAACGTAGATATATGACCAAACCTAACCAACCCTACCTAACCTAACCTAACCTATCTTTATAGGTTAGGTTCGGTTAGGTAGCAGAAAAAGTTAGGTTAGGTTAGGTTAGGTAGGTTAGGTAGTCGAAAAAACATTAATTCATGAAAACTTGGCTTATTAGGCAAATCAGGCCTTGCATAGTAGGCTGAGAAGTGCGTTCTGGCTATTAGGTACGACATATATATATATATATATATATATATATATATATATATATATAATATATATATATATATATATATATATATATATATATATATATATATATATATATATATATACCAAACCTCACACGGGTTCCGAGAGTGCTGCGTGTTTGATCTCTGCAAGATTTGATAGTGATGATTCTATTTCTGACTGAAAAAATGCACTAAAAATAAACTTAAGAAGGAATGTCAAATCACAATATTGATCATGGGATATATCCATCGAGAAGTATACCCTGCTTCTCAGTGTATATTCACTGAGCTTATCCTAGTCTTAGAACATGCTTAGGGTTAAAATATACCTTCTGGCTGGTCAGTAAGCTTTTGTGAAGGTCTTAATTGCTCTCGAGAACTTGATAAGCCTTAAGCTAACACCAGACGCGAAAACCTTTCAAATTACCGATAAATAGATTAGAATTTGTAGTGTTACTCAGACTTTCTGATGCTTAAATTTGCAAAAAAAAAATCAAATGCTCACAACCACTTTAGCTGAACGATAGAGTGACGGTCTCGTTTCACGCAGGTCGGCGTTCAATACTCGACCATCCAAGAAGTTGGGCACCATTCCTACATCCCATCTCAAATCCTGATTCTGACCCCTTCCCAGTGCTATTTATAGTCGTAATGGCTTTACGCTTTCCTCCTTGATGGTTCCCTCCCCTTCTACCATTCCTTCCTCCCCCGTCAAATGCCAAATCCTTTTATCCTGACCCCTTCCCAGTGATATATAGTTGTAATGGCTTGGCGCTTTCCCCTGATAATTTCCTCTCATCCCTCGCAAAAAATGAAATTGCACATAAAATAGTATCGAAATCAAATAGAAATCATAAAATCCCAAATAATATACAGAATCATCCATTCAAAGCAAATTCTTAAAAAAAATGCAATATTGGTATTGCGTGAAACTCCAATAGAATATATATAAATATATATATATATGTATAACTGCCATTGAAGATTGCACCACAAAGCCAAAAATAATATACAAAATTTGTTGAATGTATGCTTGGATATATAGCAGAATATGACCGGCTTTAAGCCACAAAACTTTTAAATTAGCTCCGTGCGATCGATGGGATATTTCAAGCTTGGGTTTAACATACAGGAATGCGTTTGGGTAGATATGAATAAAAGCTGCCTTGTATGGGCCCACAGCCCTTCTGCAGCTTCAGTTAGTCTTATCTTCATATAATCCTTTCCTAATAATGAAGATCTGACGTGGCACACTAAGCATATATTAATATATATTTCAAAATTATTTTGACTTGTACTTACTAAGAGGGGAAGGGAGGGAGTTATCAGGAGAAAGCGCCAAGCCATGACGTCTATATAGAACTTAGAAGGAGTCAGGATAAGAATTTTGGATGGGACCTGGAGTGAAGGGGGGAAGGAAAGGTGCCCAACCACTTGGACGGTCGAAGATTGAACGCCGACCTGCGTGAAGCGAGACCGTCGATCTACCGTCCAGCCAAAGTGGCTGGACTACTTACTAAGAGTTTCCTGAGATTTTCAAAGACCAACTAATGATGTTTGCGTCAATCTTTCTTCAAGACATATTCGTCTTCTTTGTGTTAGTCCCCCAAAGATACCTTTCAAAGACCAAGCTGCTATTCATCTCATCGATTCAGTATGTAATTTTTCTAATTAGTAAACAAACTTCATCAGTACTATCAAATTGCTCTTCTTGTAAGCGTTACAAGTCAGGAGGTTGTGACGATATTTCTTTATTACATGAGCAGTACAAAAATTTTCGTTCTATGTAGCACAGTATCAAGATTGTGTAAAACTTTGGTATTCATATTGTTCAATAACATGAGAGAACCCAAGGTTCATGCTCTGTGCTGCTTAATGACAAAAATGTGTAAATAAGAGGCTTTTGTGATCTTTGTGAGGTAAAGAGGTTCTGTGTCTTTCTTTCAGAGACTTGAGTCACCAACGTCTGTCCGTCATATCTGCGAGAGCCTTCGCAGGGTTACGGAACCTCACTACGTTGTAAGTTGTGCTCCTCGCTGCCATTATCTATGTATGTTGTCTACGTTTGGTTATCTATGTATGTATCTATGGCAATATATATCTCTCTCTGTTTCTGTCTGTCTCTATTTCTCTGTCATTTTTGTGTGTGTGTCTGTCTGTGTCTGTGCCTGTCTGTGTGCGCGTGTGTCTGTCTGTCTGTCTGTCTGAACAGTAACCAGGTGTGATGTTCTTACAGGAATCTCTCGCACAACATGCTGACCGTGCTGGACGATGCTGTCTTCACCGGACTCAGGAACCTCAAGAAATTGTAAGTTATTTCTCAGTATTGCTTTCATTGCACAACCGGATCTCTGCCTGCCCGTCACTCTTGCTCTAAGTTGCCTTCTCTTTATATCTCTCTCTCTGTCTCTCTAAATCTATATAGGTTTGGTGATGGGCTTAAAGCTATTCAACCGCGGGAGGGTTATAATAGCCCCCTTCTCTGTATATCTCTGTCTCTTTATAGATAAGTATGATTTTATCTCTGTATTGACGGTAAGTCATAATAACGTGGCTGAAAATTAGACTCCCATCACACCTGCCTGAAAATAAAAGGAAACGGCAATATCTCACTCTGTCTCTTTCTCTGTCTCGCACAAATATATTCGTCTTTAGCTCCTTTTTTTTATGACGCATCTTCTCTCATTTCTTTCAGAGGCATCTTCCTCAAACTTTTTCATATTGACTCCATATCTCACAAAAACCTTTCTGCTCCTGCTGCCTCCTCCTCCTCATTGAAGTCACTTCACAAACTTCCGTCACTCGTAGCAATGCGGCTCACTGTGAAAGTTGGTAGGTGGTCACCGGCCTTCTGGTCCCTATCAACCACCAGACCAAGCAAACAAAATGAAAATTCTTTCCCCTCTTCCGAAGGGCAATCCCTTCCTCCTCCCCCCACCCCCTCCCCGTCTTACACCTCCCTTGTTTACATTATAGATATAATACAATATTTTATATTACACACATACGTATTACATGCAAATATATAGATTATATATATATATATATATATATATATATATATATATATATATATATATATATATATATATATATATATATATATATATATAAATATATATATATATATATATATTATTAAATATGACCGAAAAAGTAAGACTAATAATTCTAACACGAATTTTCTCAATCCTTCGTACATTTCTTTTCACTGTTGGAGGTAATTCAAAAATCAATTCTCCAAAATTCATTTTTATTTCTAGTCTGACGCGACACTTGAGCGCGTTTCGTAAAACTTATTACATTTTCAAAGACTTTACACATACACAACTGAATAGAACTTACATATCTCCGATTTGTTTATATCTACATTTGAGTGAGGTGGATGGGGTGAGGTGGTATTTAATAGGGTATTAATTTCATCAACACAAGACAGAACACGAAACAATGGGTATTGAAATGGAAGTGATTGTAGAAAGCCTATTGGTCCATATTTCTTGATGCTTCTATATTGGAGCGGAGTCTTGAGGTCGGTAGAATATAGTTGTGCATTAATTGGCTGTTGATTGCTGGTGTTGACTTCTTAATGTGCAGTGCCTCGCAAACGTCAAGCCGTCTGCTATCGCTGTATCTATCGATGATTTCTGTGTTGTTTACTAGGATTTCTCTGGCGATGGTTTGGTTGTGGGAAGAGATTATATGTTCCTTAATGGAGCCCTGTTGCTTATGCATCGTTAAACGCCTAGAAAGAGATGTTGTTGTCTTGCCTATATACTGGGTTTTTTGGAGCTTACAGTCTCCAAGTGGGCATTTGAAGGCATAGACGACGTTGATCTCTTTTAAAGCGTTCTGCTTTGTGTCTGGAGAGTTACTCATGAGTAGGCTGGCCGTTTTTCTGGTTTTATAGTAAATCGTCAGTTGTATCCTCTGATTTTTGTCTGTAGGGATAACGTTTCTATTAACAATATCTTTCAGGACCCTTTCCTCCGTTTTATGAGCTGTGGAAAAGAAGTTCCTGTAAAATAGTCTAATAGGGGGTATAGGTGTTGTGTTAGTTGTCTCTTCAGAGGTTGCATGGCGTTTCACTTTCCTTCTTATGATGTCTTCGACGAAACCATTGGAGAAGCCGTTGTTGACTAGGACCTGCCTTACCCTACTGAGTTCTTCATCGACTTGCTTCTATCCTGAGCTGTGGCTTAGAGCACGGTCGACGTAAGCGCTGACAACACACCTCTTGTACCTGTCTGGGCAGTCACTGTTGGCATTGAGGCACATTCCTATGTTTGTTTCTTTGGTGTAGACTGCAGTATGGAAGCCTCCGCTCCTTTCCGTGACTATTACATCCAGAAAGGGCAGCTTCCCATTGTTCTCCATCTCGTACGTGAAACTCAACACAGAATTCTGCTCAAATGCCTCCTTCAGCTGCTGCAGACATCTAGCATCAGGTACCTGTGTAAAAATCTCGTCAACATACCTGCAGTATATGGCGGGTCTCAAGTCCCTGTCAACTAAGACCCTCTGCTCGATGTTGCCCATGTAGAAGTTCACAAACAGGACACCTAGGGGAGAACACATGGCGACCCCATCTACTTGCTTATACATGTGCCCATCCGGGATCACGAAGGGTGCCTCTTTAGTGCAGGCTTGGAGCATTTTGCAGAAAGTGTCACAATAACTCGGCTGAAACACATAACCCAACCCCACACATGTGACAGTGGCGATGTTTCGGTCCTTCCTGGACTCTTACCAAGTCGTCCTGGACATACACCAAGTCGTCCTGGACCCTTACCAAGTCGTTCTGGACATACACCAAGTCGTCCTGGACTCTTACCAAGTCGTTCTGGACTCTTACCAAGTCGTTCTGGACTCTTACAAGTCGTCCTGGACATACACCAAGTCGTCCTGGACTCTTACCAAGTCGTTCTGGATTCTTACCAAGTCGTTCTGGACTCTTACCAAGTCGTCCTGGACTCTTACCAAGTCGTTCTGGACTCTTACCAAGTCGTCTTGGACATACACCAAGTCGTTCTGGATTCTAATCAAGGGTTCTGGACGGAACGAAACGTCATCATTTGCATTTCGTTTTTCATGTCTGGACAGCGATAGTTGCATAAAAGCTCTTTTGCAAAATGTTTATTCAAGCACTTTGTATACGGGGCTCTGACTAAGTGCTTGAATGTCAAATTCTGGCTACCGCCCCCAAGCCCGAACTGTGTTAAATATATTCACTATGTTAAACTCCCTTTTACAGAAAATACAGTATTTAACACACTCAAAAAATCTATGAAATATATATAGAGGAATTCGTTCCACAAAATACATATCATAGTCTTTTCCAAAAACCAGTTCACCACTGGTGGCTTTTGAAGAAATGTGGCTTTTCTTGCCCATTGAACTTCAATTTGGAGCTGCGTATTTGTTCAAATGTTGGAGTACTGATGTTCAATGCATGGAAATAACGTCACGGAGTGTTGAACATCAAATTTATAAATATTTTGAGCGGTCTTACTGTTTATACAGTCCCGGATTATTTACTCACAGTTCATCGCCCGTTCACTCCGATTGACTTCGGTGATCTGATTGCCATCACCCACTGGCTTGACGTTAACATTGGAGAGTGTTCGTTCATTATGAAAATGAGGCCTTAATTAAATAGTTCGATCATCTCGTTTCAGTTGTATGCATTATAGGTGTTTGGGTCATAATGTTACATTACTGAATACATTACTGAGTATTTCTTCCAAAAATTTTGCTAAAATCTTTATTGCACGGCTAAGAAAAGAGAGAGTAGCCGTAGGAGTCTGATATTAGTTTCATCATAGGCATATAAAAAATAGTCAAGATTACTAGTCAAGATTGCTAGTCAAGGTTACTCTTGCAATCTTCACTAGATAAGAATATGTTAACATTGATGATATGATCTCGATAACGAGGGCAATTAGGTCAAGATACTGATATTCAACATAACAGAGGTGAATGACGAGTGATAAACTCAGTTGTTACAGGTCACGAGGGGGGCAACCATTGTAATTAGCCTGATAATATCTCACATAAACTCTCTGATTACAACAGAGATGTTTCACTGCAATCCAAGCAGACATAATTTCAGTATCCTTAGTGACCGGTCTCAAGGCAAAACTATGCTTATCATTCTTTTCCCAAAACATGGGAATAGGTTCTTTTTCATCTATGAAAGGTTTGTGTCTCTGAGACACATTCTGTGGTAGTATGCTCTTTGGTGTGTCCACCCCACAGACAATTTCACGATCCCATGATAAATAACTCAGTTTCCCTTTCTTTATTTTAGTTTCCTTAACATCTCGGAGAAAATGTAGTAACAAGAAGTGGTTGTATTTCGGCAGAAGTTCTTTTTACACACCGAAAGATTTCCTTCTAAACTTAATGACACTTAACACAACTGTCTTTGAAAACTTCTGAGGCTAACATAAATCACCTTTTTTCCATGAGCGCTAAAGCTTTCTCTCTGAACAAAACGCCAACTTCTCTTTCTTTCGCCTCGACACCCTTGCTTCACATGTTCCATCTAATCGAATTCGATCCATATAACCACGTGTACCTGATTGACTTAATCAGTCAGGGGGACGCCACCACTGTAGCTTAGAGTCCCTTGAAATAGAATATAAATATTTTAACATAAACCGTCCAAGAGCCTCCAAATACTAACATAAAATAACAAATAATAGATCTGTATTGTACTAGATGGAATAAGGAACATTTGTGATAATACTTGTGTAATTCTCACGAAGTGCTATTACGGGAGGCTCCACAACACTTTAAGTATTATGTAAGTGTTCCATGTGATCAGAGATTGAATCAACTGATGAATCTAAGTGTTTTCTCTCTTTCGCAGAGATCTAACCCACAATGCCATTGAGACCTTCAGTGACGAGCTGTTTCATCACATACCCAGACTTCACCATTTGTGAGTATACGCCTTTCTCCCTGTTTATGCCCAAGCTGCACCACTTGTGAGTTTATGTTCCGTCGTTGTTATATATCCAGGCTTCACCACCTGTGAGTATATATATATATATATATATATATATATATATATATATATATATATATATATATATATATATATATATATATTATATATATATATATATATATATATATATATAGATATGACAAATACTCACGCTTCGCCATCTGTGAGAATATATCCCATTCTGTCCATATACTCAGGCCAGCACAACATGTGAGTACATACCCTTTCTCTCTCCCTTCCCATCTCTGCACATTCTCTGCCCTTTCCCTTGTTTTCCATTTATTATATTTTCCTTTTCCATCTCCTCCCTCCCTCCCCTTTCTCTCCTCACTGTTCTATCTCCTTCCTTTCCACTTTGTACCCTCTCCCACTTCGTTTTCCCCTCTCTCTCTACCATCTCTAACCGTTTACATCAGCAAACTGTTATGACGGGAGCCCAACACCCAATTTGCAAGTACGTCTGCAACTCAATAGCGCCTGCCACTGTACCTGTTATTGGCCCCTGAACAGCTCTCAAACTCTGGCAGTCTACCATCACAGACACTGTCTCCCACACCAATCACAAACCACGGTTACCATCTCAACCATTTTACTTGCCGACAGCAGCAAAATAAAAATGTTCTCCCTTCTGATGTGAAATTACTTTTTCTGTGTCAATTTATTAGTAATAAAATCAAATAAACATATTTTCTTTGTTCTTCTATAATATTGTTATATGATATTTGATTCATATTATAATCAAATCATATTTAATATGCAAATTCAATTTCGAGCAAAAACGGTATTTTGTACCAACATACTATTTAGTTAAAAAAATATTATTAAGTAGTATTTCATTATATAAAATAATAAAGTAAAAAAAATGTGTTTTTGTTGATGTCACGGTAATGAGTGAGCACTCAGAACTTGCTGTTATCGCCAGTTACGATAAAAAAAATTTCTCTCTCTCTCTCTCTCCTCTCTCTCTCTCTCTCTCTCTCTCTCTCTCTCTCTCTCTCTCTCTCCTCTCTCTCTCTCTCTCTCTCTCTCTCTCTCTCTCTCTCTCTCTCTCTCTCTCTCTCTCTCTCTCTCTCTCTCTCTCTCTCTCTCTCTCTCCTCTCTCTCTCTCTCTCTCCTCTCTCTCTCTCTCTCTCTCTCTCTCTCTCTCTCTCTCTCTCCTCTCTCTCTCCTCTCTCTCTCTCTCTCTCTCTCTCTCTCTCTCTCTCTCTTCTCTCTCTCTCCTCTCTCTCTCTCTCTCTCTCTCTCTCTCTCTCTCTCTCTCTCTCTCTCTCTCTCCTCCTCTCTCTCTCTCTCTCTCTCTCTCTCTCTCTCTCTCTCTCTCTCTCTCTCTCTCTCTCTCTCTCTCTCTCTCTCTCTTTTCTCTCTCTCTCTTTCTCTCTCTTAAGAGAGAGAAAGAGAGAGAAACTCAAACACACACTCAAACTCACACACAAATAATAAAAACCAAATGGGTAGAAGTCCCTGTAAGAAATGGCATAATAAAAGTCAAACAATATCGTTTTCGAACAGGAAGATCCAGAGAAAGAAATCTACTTAGTTTATATAATAGAGCCACACAGGTTTTACAGGCAAGAAATGGTTGGGTTGACTGCATGTATCTGCACCAAAAAATTACTTTTGACTGAGTCCTACACAAGTGGTTGTTCTGGAAGCTGGAGGATGCTGAAGAGGTGACAGGTAGAATGCTGACATTGTTGAAACATTTTCTGACAGAAAAATTAGAACAGTAATCATGGCAATGTATCAGACTGCTTAAATGTTATTAGTAGAGTACGACAGGCTTCAACAGGACGCAGCCCCTAGCAACTGTCTAACTCCCAGGTACCTATTTACTGCTAGGTAACAGGAGAATCTGGGTGAAAGAAACTCTGCCCATTTGTCTCTGCCGGGGCCGGGAATCGAACCCGGGCCACAGGATTATGAGTCCCGCGCGCTGTCCACTTAGCTACCAGACCCCATCCCCGTGTGTGTGTGTGCGTGTGGTAGAGAGAAATACATGTGGTATACATAATAGAGGTATAGATTCCTCTATACATAATAGAGGAATACATAATATACATAATAGATTAACCAACCTTTTAACCAAAGATTGGTTAAAAAGGCGGGGCTCAAGAGCTAACAGTTCGATTCAGCAAGCACAAATATTAAATACAAATAGTATAAACACACACACCCACAAAACCTTATTATCCTTAATTAATGATCTACATAGCACCATATAAAGCACTACTAATTAAACGCATATATATTATTCCTAACTTCTATTGTCCAACCACTTGAACTAGTCGGTAGAGCGACGCACTTGATTCGTACAGTGTCGGCGTTCAATCCCCGATGGTCTGAGCGGTTGGGCACCATTCCATCAGCTCCTTGCCCTCATATCCATTCCAAGTACTATACTGGCTAAGTGCTTTCTCTTTATACTTACCTTACCCCTTCAACACGTCTTATGATTGAACTTGTAATACATAATAATAATAATACATAATACTTGTTGTATTATGGGCCACTATTGTTTGCCTTAACTTCGAATTAGCATAAGAAAAAACTGTGTCCACCTTATGACTCGTTTATGTTGTATGTGTCCATGTAGGTTTCCGTGCCCAGTCACAAGCACATAGTCGAACACAACCGTCTGTGAGCATCAGTCCTCCCCATCAAACCTAGCCTCTGCTTCCCCACAACTATCTGCACACATCTTCCCGAAAACTAACTCTTTATGTACATAACATATTAAGAGCAAGTCACAATTCCCAATAACCCACAACACAATTTGTACTGCAAGTCTCTTACTTGGCTATGTTGAGTAGACGAAAATATATGCATACTGAGCCTCTTTGTAATTGACCTGTAAAAACACTTCAAACGCCGTCTGTAGTTTGTCACTGAATAACGAACTGCACTATAATGCAAACAAATCTCTAAGCCCCTACCCCATGTAATGACAGAAAAATAAGGGTGTAATGTAAAATGTAAAAATGTAAGGGTGTGTGGACAGCATCGTAACTGAACCCTCCCCACCTCCCCTGTCATCACATTAACCCGGTGCTTGACGGCTTGGACAGAGAGACGGACGAGTGGCGTCTGTGTTGTCTCGCCCGCCATGTGGATAAGTGCCTGCCGGTAGCCGACGAGTTCTCCTCGTGCGAGGACCTCATGTCTAACCTGGTGCTGAGGGTGTGCATCTGGATCCTCGGCTTCATAGCGCTGCTCGGCAACTCCTTCGTCATCATCTGGAGGAGCGTGTACTCCAGCGGTAATAAGGTCAGGCCTCGCCCAGGGCAGAGAACACACTATTTTTGTTATTATTATTATTATTATCGAATTAGTTTCATTCATGGCATAGATTATATGTTGATTCGTGGCAGGTTGAGCTGCTTCATGACATGTGTTGAACGGGTTCAGGAGACAAGTTGAGCTGGTTTACGACTCAAGTAGACCTGCGTCACACAAGTAGACCTTCTGCGTCACACAAGTAGAGTTGATTTATAGCAAAGGTTCACCTGATTCGTGACGCAAATCGAGCTGGTCCACGACACAGGTAGAGCTGGGCCACGACACAGGTTTTGCTGGTCCACGATACAGGTGGAGCTGGTCCACGACACAGGTTTTGCTGGTCCACGATACAGGTGGAGCTGGTCCACGACACAGGTTTTGCTGGGCCACGACACAGGTTTTGCTGGTCCACGACACAGGTTTTGCTGGTCCACGATACAGGTGGAGCTAGTTCAGGACACAGGTTCTGGTGACTAATTAAATCTTTTGGAGTCAAAAATGTGTTAATGTGCATCATTAATATTATATTTGTTTTTACTAGTTCCCATAATACATTTAGCTAATTAATACTAATACTATTGCTAGTTTAACAGCAGCCATGTGTTCAAGTAGGAATAATAAGTAATAGTTGAAGTTAAATTGGAAAAGATAAAAGGCAATGCATTTAAATTTAATCAAATGCTTCATACTGCATTATGAAGAGACCCGCTTAATTGTTCTCGGAGTCTATTCGATGAAGATTATTTCACATGAATAATCAGTTATCTATCGTGTTACTGATTTTTGATAGATTTTTGTTTTTCAGCTTTGGCTACTGATGTAAAAACAATTGATTCTGGTCGAGATTGGTCATTATAATAATCATTATCAGTTTAAAATTTAAATGTAAGTTTGAGAGGCGATGATGAGACACAATCACACGGAAGGTGGCTCTGGAATGACTCATTTTTACGGTATAATGAAGGAATCTCAGAGGAGAAGAAAGGCATCGAGTGGTGAAGCGTGGAAGTGAAATTCAATGCTTTGCGTGGCATTGTCTAGCTACAGTCCCAACAGTGGCCATTTTTTCAGAGAGGGGCCGCTAATTGGTGAGGTGTGAAGGGGATTCGTGTGTCGCGAAGGCTCCCCTTATCTCTCCCTCTTTGATCTCTTTGATCTTTTCTACTTCTTGTGTTCCTTTCCACCTTTAGAAAATTTGTCCACTTCTGCTTCGTTATTCTATGGCGTAAATAATAATAATAATAATAATTACCCACCGGAGCGTGGGACGTGGGAACACCCACCAGCATAGGTTCGAACCCTCATCACGGCTCCTATGGATGTTTTCAATAATAATAATAACAATAATAATAATAATAATAATAATAATAATTTTATTTAAATAATACACAGAAGATCAAGATATAGTGGTTAGATCAGTGTTGACATAAATGCCTATTAAATAATGCCACTAGTACGCCAAGTCACATTTCGCATGAACGGCTCAATTATAGAGGGAGTTGGCATTTACCCCCTCAAGTCGTCGAGTAAAAATGATTTACTATTGTGTTGAGAACAATGTCTTGGAACATGAATGTTATTTTGGACGTCGATATGCTCAAAGGCGTTTCCTCAGCTCCGACAAACACAGTCTAGCTTGTGGAGTTTATTCAGTGTTGTATGGTATGGTAATTGGCAGAAAGTTTTAAAACAGACCGCCTATATAGCACTTGGTAGGGACATGAGGATAAGAAGCTTAGATATGAAAAGAAGAAGCTGGAAATTGGGAACAAGGAGCTGGGATATGAGGACAAGGATCTGGGAAATGTAGACAAGAAGTTGGGATATGAGTACAAGGAGCTGGGATATGAGGACTAGGAGCTGGGATATGAGGTTAAGGAGCTGGGATATGAGGACAAGAAGCTGGGATATGAGGACAAGGAACTGGGATAAGAAGACAAGGAGGTGAGATATATGAACAAGGAGTTGGGATATGAAGGTGAAGGTTAAGGAACAGTGTTCAACCGCATTGGGGGATCGAACGCCGATCCCTGCAGGAAGCGAGGCTGTCACCCTACCAACCAATCAACCCGCTCCCGCACAAGACAGCACATATATGACTTATTGTTTATTGTCAATATTTTGCTTATGAATTAGTACATATGTGGTATATTCCCAGTTATATTTTTTCAAGTCCCAAACTCTTCCTCACATACCAATTTAGGTCTCACAGTACCCGTTCATCGCCGTAGACAGCAGAATCGTCATGATTGGTTCAATTATAATGAAAATTGTAGTTTTCAGGGCCAACATGGGTTGTGAAATTTACCTACTATTGTCCATGCTCTTAGAATACTACAGATCAGCTACATCCTATTGAAGGCTCGTAGTTTTGTTTTCAGAAATATTAGTTGTTCTTAGTAAATTACAATAAGTACTATAATTTATTACATTAAATAAAAGTGCTTCACCAATCAACATTATATACACTAGTTTGTGCTTTAAAAATGTTTAAAGAATGTATTGTAGGAACATCAACAGAAAACGATGTTACGTTGGAATGTCTATAGGGTAAACGTCTGCAAACAGGATCGTATTGTGTCTACTACCTACTGTAGGATGGGTATAGGGTCCACTACCACCTGTTAGGTTGGTAAGGGGTCCATACTACTTGTAGGATGGATCTGGGCCCAACAACTGCCCATAAGATGGGTATGGGGACCACTATCATCCACAGGATGGGTATGGGGTCAACTACCGCCTAATGGACGGGTATATGGTCCTCTACCACCCACAGGATGAGTATGGGGACCACTATTGTCTGCAGGAGGGGTATGGGGTCCACTACTGCCCACTAGATGGGTATATGTTCCACTTCCGCCCAGAGGATGTGTGTGGCGTCCTCTAAACCGCCCACAGGATGGGTATGGAGTCCACAATCACCCACAGCATAAAAATTGTGTCTACTACCGCCCACATGATGGGTATGGCCTCCATTGCCCCCCACAGCATGAGAACAGGGTCCAGTACCGTCCACGGAATGGGTATATGCTTAACTACCGCCGTCAGGATGAGTATATCGTCTACTACCGCCCACAGGATGGGTATGGGGTTACATACCACCGATAGGACGCATATGGGGCCCATTACCGCCCACAGGATGGGTATGGCGCCCATTGCCGCCTACATAAAAGGTATGGTGTCCAATACCGCCCAAAGAATGTGCTTGGCCTCCACTGCAGCATACAGCATGAGTATAGGGTCCAGTACCGCCCACGGGATGGGCATGGGTCCATTACCGCCCACAATATGCTTATGGGGTCAAGTACCGCCCACAATATGCTTATGGGGTCAAGTACCGCCCACAATATAGGTATGGGGTCCACTATCGCCGACAGAATGGCTTTGGGGGACCACTATCATCCACAAGATGGGTATGGGGGTCCACTACCGCCCACAGGGTGATTATGGGGTCCACTACCACCCACAGGATGGGTATGGGGCCTAATACCGCCCACAGCATGGGTATTGGGTCCAATACCGCCCACATGATGGGCATGGGATCCATTACAGCCCATAGGATGGGCATGGGGTCCCCTATCACCAACAGCATTAGTATATTGGGTCCACTACTGCCCACAGGATGGGTATGGGATTTATAATTATAATAAACACTATTAGTTTATTAAATTTATTAGTATTAATTTTATTGTTACTACTTAATTATTATAATTAAGTACCTAATTTTATGTTCATAATTTCCTACTCTGTGCTTTAAAATTGCTTTGTATCTTGTGTTACCCAATTTCCCAATCTTCATGTACTTAATCTAATCAACTTTACCATTGTGATCATTGCTGTCTTCTTATATGTGCTAGCAATATGCTGTATTGTGCCTATTAATCTTTGTTAAATTAGTCAATGTAATCCATCTGAGCTACCTATGTGCTTTAATGTACATTCAAATCTCTCTCATCACATTTTTTTTCTTGCAATATACTTGTTATCATTTTATAAATTTTGCTAATATTTACCTACTTAAAATTTTCTGTTAGATTAAGGACCTGCCCGAAACGCTACGCATACTAGTGACTTTACAAGAATGTAATCACTATGCTATGTATCCTTACAATCCCAATGTACCTTCTTGTATATAAATAAATAAATAAATAGGTATTACATATAATAATGGCGCTTCCCAAATCAACATTATATACAATAGTGTATGCTTTGAAATCTTTGGAAAAAGCGAAAAGAGAATGGATTGTAGGAATGTCAACAGAAAACAATATTACATTGGAATGTCTTTGGGGTGAACTAAAATCAAATCAAAATCGTAATCAAAATCAAAATGTTTATTCAGGTAAAAAATACATAAATAGAAGATGAGTTACAAGCATAATGTTAGATTTATAGATAGAGTTAGTACATATAATACCTAAAGTAACTAATACTCACAGCGTTTCGGGCAAGATGTGAGGAGAAAAAAAACTTTTTCCTGCCCGAAACGCTTTGCGTAATAGTGGCTTTAGGCATTGTATGTACTAGCTCTATCTCTAAATTCATCAATATTTGTGGAGTGGCCACCTTCCCGAGCTGTTCCTGGCACCACACTGTCTTCCCTCGCCCTGCTCTACACAGAAGCCAGAGCAGGGTATTCTTCCGCCTAGTTAACTAAGTTACTAGCAAGGTTTAAGTTGAACAACTCATCTCTGTTGCACGGACTGACCCAGATTGGTTGAACTCTTTTAACTGAAGTTAATTACACAAGCATCTTATGGAAGAGCTATTTCCGATTACAAAATGGCTATTTGACCTTTGAGAAGAAAATATAGAGCTTTGGTGATCCTTGTGACCTCAGGTCGGCCAGATGATTGCGCGGCAGAGGCTAGTCCCGCTAGTGACGTCACTGATGGTGACTTAACTCATTATCCTGACAATTAGGATCCTCTCGATACTATAAACAGTAATACTATAAAGTTTGAATGAAGACTAATTTCTCTATATTA